TTAATTTGCTTCCTACAAATCCATCAACTAAATCAAGTATTAGTTCGTCCATTGACTAGCTACTGGCCACTTTCTTGCTGCTGCTGCTGCTGCTGCTGCTGCTGCTGCCGCTGCTGCTGCTGCTGCTGCTGCTGCTGCTGCTGCAGGTGCTGGCCAGCCGTGGGCAGCTGAAGCTGCTGACTCTGGACGGCGACGAAACTCTTTACCCCGACGGCGGGCAGCTGCAGCAGGAAGAAATGGCCCATTCCATTGCGCAGCTGCTGCAGCGGGGAGTTAATGTTGCTGTTGTCACTGGCGCAGGCAAGCCTTTTGCTGCTGCTGCTGCTGCTGCTGCTGCTGCTGCTGCTGCTGCTGCTGTTGTTGCTCCTGCTGATGCTGCTGCTGCTGGGGCAGCTGTTAGTGCTGCTGCTGCTACTGCTGCTGCTGCTGTTGCTCCTGCTGATGCTGCTGCTGCTGGGGCAGCTGTTACTGCTGCTGCTGCTGCTACTGCTGCTGCTGCCATTGCTGTAGGTGCTGCTGCTGCCGTTGCTGCTGCTGCTGCCACTGCTGCTGCTGCTTTGGCTTCTTTTTCCAATTTTAAATATATATATAAAGGAAGAATAAATAAATGCACAAATAATAATTATTTATTGTCTTTTATTATTTATTCTTTTATCAGAAAAATGAACAAAAGAGTAAATGAATATTAGTTATTCTGTTATTGTCTTTTATTATTTATTTATTCTTTTATTTTTTTTCTTTTTCCTTTTTTTCTTTTCTTCTTCTCCCCACCTTTGCCACTTCCTGCACTCATCACAACTTACTGTTATTATTTACTAACAATTGTAATTAATTACGAATTAGAATTAATTAAATTAGTTGAATTAAATATATTAATTGGATTAATTAAATTAATTATTATTATTTAATTAATTTAAATTAATTTAAATTAATTTAAATTAATTTAAATTGCTTTTAATTAATTCGAATAAACTGTTTGTGCTTTGCGCGGGAGCCCGCGCGGCCAATCTCGCGGGGCGTTTCACGTTTTAGAATTTTTCGTTTTTCGTCGATTTTGGATCTTTTTTGGATCTTTTTGGATCTTTTTGGATCTTTTTGGGTCTTTTTTTGCGAAGTTTTTAATTCTCTTTTCAACGAGGTGCTATTTGATATGCTTTTTGTTTCTTTTTTCTTCTTTTTTTTTCTTTTTTTTTCTTTTTTCGCCTTTTCGGCCCCAGGCTACGGCTACGAGGCCCCCCTCTACGCCCAGCGCCTCGGCTGCCTTTTCCGAGTTTTCCAAAAGTGCAATTTGCCGCCAGCAGCAGCAAAGCGCTTTTTCCTCATGGGAGGAGAATCCAATTATCTTCTCTCGTGAGACTTTGCTGCTGCTGCTGCTGCTGCTGCTGCTGCTGCTGTGGTCAGTGCTGCTGCAGCGACGGCTCCAGAGAGTCCAGTTGTCTTTTCGCGTGAGAAAACGAGCCAGTGCTGCTGCTGCTGCTGCTAGTGCTGCTGCTGCTAATGCTGCTGCTGCTGATGCTACTGCTGCTAGTGCTGCTGCTGCTAGTGCTGCTGCTGCTAGTGCTGCTGCTGCTGCTGCTGCTGCTGCTAGTGCTGCGGAGAGTCCAACTACCTTCTCACGTGCGGAAACGCGCCGCTCCTGCTGCTGCTGCTTTCACTGCTCCTCCTTTTGTTGCTGCTGCTTCTGCTGCTGCTGCTGCTGCTGCTGCTGCTGCTGCAGGCTGTCTGGGTCGTACAAGCTGGAGCCGGTTCCGGAGAGTCAGTGGCGGGGCTACCGGCCCTTCATTTCTGCTGCTGCATGCAAACAGCTGATGGACTTGGCGGAAAAGTCTTTATTTAAAGCAGCAAAAGAATTAAACTTAAAAGGAACTCTTATTAGGAAGCAGCGCGCTGTGGGGCTGGTGCCGCTGGAAGATGCTGCCAGCAGTGAGCAGCAGCTGCTGCTGCTCTTTTTTTCTTCTTTTTCAGCTTTTCTTCTTTTTCAGTTTTTCTTCTTTTTCATTCTTTTATTCTTTTGCATTCTTTTATTCTTTTGCATTCTTTTATTCTTTTAAATGTTAAAGAGGAACTGCAGTTAGAAGTGGATTTCAATTTTTAAGAGTTTCGTTTTGAGGGTTCCTTCACTTGCTGCTTTTGCTGCTCTTTTTATAGCAGCAGCTTTCTTCTTTTGATTCTCTTTTATTTTAATTTATTTTATTTCATTTTATTTTATTTATTCTTTCATTTTCTTCTTTTATTTGAGAGCTTATGGCTATGAATACCTGCTGACAAAAGAGCTGCTCACCAGCCTCGCTACCGCTGCTGCTGCCGCTGCTGCTGCTGCTGCTGCTGCCGCTGCTGCTGCTGCTGCCGCTGCTGCTGCTGCTGCTGCTGCTGCAGGTGTCCGGTTTGGCTGTGTGGACAACAAGGGAATGCACAAGGAGACGCTGGAGGAAGCAGTTATGAGAATACGCAGAGACATTCGAATGGCTTTCGGTTAGCTGCTGCTGCTGCTGCTGCTGCTGCTGCTGCTGCAACTACTACTGCTGCTGTTGGTACTACACTACAACCACTCCTGCTGCTGCCGCTGCTGCTGCTGCCACTGCTGCAACGACTGCTGTTATGCGCCTCCCACCTTGCTGCAACTCCCCCCGCCGCTGCTGCCCCTGCTGCTGCTGCCGCTGCTGCTGCTGCTGCTGCTGCTGCTGCTGCTGCTGCTGCTGCTGCTGCTGCAGGGGCGGACTTCGCAGTGCCGTACAGCGTGTTCAGCGGGGGCTGCGACCTCTGGGTGGACGCCGGCAACAAAGCCGAAGGAGTTGCGCTGCTGCAGGGGCTGCTGCAGCTGCTGCCGCAGCAGTGTCTGCACGTGGGCGACCAGTTCAGCCTCGTGGGCAACGACTTGGCAGCCAGGTACTGCAGCAGCAGCAGCAGCAGCAGCAGCAGCAGCAGCAGCAGCGGCAGCAGCGGCAGCAGCAGCGGCGGCGAAGGCGGAGGCGAAGGCGGAGGCGAAGGCGGAGGCGAAGGCGAAGGCGGGTTGCTGCTGCGCTGCTGCTGCTGCTGCACCAGCGGCGGCGAGGCTGCTGCTGGTGCAGCAGCAGCGGCAGGAGCAGCAGCAACTCTGCTGCTGCTGCTGCTGCTGCTGCTGCTGCTGCACGGGTCGAGGGGGTGCTGCTGCGGGCCTGCTTTTGCTACTACTATTATTAATAAGGCCATTAATGTTATTATTGTTGCTATTACTACTATTCCATTATTATTATTGCTATTATATTTATTATTATTATTATTATTATTATTATTATTATTATTATTATTATTTGCACTTTTGTCTTCTTCTTTTATTTATTTTGTTCATTTTATTTGTTTATATTCTTCTGCCATTACTACTTTATTGCCGTCACTGTTGCTGCTGTTGAATTCTTTTTGTTTTTATTAATTATTTTATTTCATTTTATTTTATTTTTCTCTATTTTTTATTTTAAAATTCTTATTAGTCACTTTATTTTATTTTATTTGCATATTTTTATTTTGTTTTATTTATTATTTTATTTTATTTTATCTTTTATTTTATTTGTTTTATTTATTTTACTTTGTTTTATTATTGATGCTATTGTTGCACTATTGTTGCTGCTGAAGTTATTACTTCTTTTTGATTTTCATCTTTTTTATTTATTTTATTTTTATTATTTTTGTTTTATTATTTTTATCATTTGTATTATTATTTGTTTACTTTTTTTTATTTGTATTATTTCTTATTATCTTTTCTAATTTTGTTCACTACTATTACAATTGTTTTTATTTTTTTCATTTTTACTATTATTTATTATTATTTATTATTATTATTATTACCATTATTATTATTATTATTTATTATATATTGTTATTATTGTTGGGCCCATTAATATTTTTATTGTTATTTCTATTACAATTATTTATTATATTTGATTTTAATTTTTCATCTTTATTTTCCCGTTGTTATTTTCGTTTTTATTTTTATCTTTTTTATAATTGTTTTTATTGTTACAATTATTGGAAGTGTAATTGTTGTTATTGTCTTCTTACTATTCTTTGAATTTCTTTTTATTAGAAGCATTTGCTGCTTGCCTCTTCTTAGTTGCTGCTGCTGCTGCTGCTGCTGCTGCTGCTGCTGCTTCTGCTGCTGCTCTTACTAAATGGAGAGCGCGCGCTGCTTGTTTCTTCCCTTTGCTGCTGCTGCTGCTTTGCCCATTGAATAAGAATCACTTGCTGTTTGCTTCTTCCTAATTGCTGCTGCTGCTGCTGCTGCTGCTGCACCTGTCAAATACGAAGGGCTTCCTGTTTGTTTCTTCTTAATTGCTGCTGCTGCTGCTGCTGCTGCAGGATCTGCTCGCCGGCGCTGTGGATTCGAAACCCCCGCGAGACAGCAGCAGTGCTGCAGGAGCTGCTAGCAGCAGACACAGAAGAAGAAGACAATTAAAATAAAATAAATAAATTGGTATTTATTATCTTTAATTAAATTCGAGAAAAGGTATTGAGAGGGAATAAAGGAATGTAGTTCGGCAGCGAGCTGCTGCTGCTGCTGCTGCTGCGTTTGCTGCTGCTGCGACTGCTGCTGCCGCAGCTTGTGGTGCTGCGGCAGCGCTGCAGCAGCAAAAAGGTGCAGGCAAAGGCCTTGCTGCTGCAGGATGTGCTGCAGCAGCAGCGGCGGGAAGACAGAGGCCGCGTGGCTTTACAGCTGCTGCTGCAGCACGTGCTGCTGCTGCTGCTAGGCTCACATTGCTGCTGCTGCTGCTTGGCTAGGGTTTGTGTCCCTTCTGCAGCAGCTCTTGCTTCTTTTGCTTTTTTCCAAATGGCATTTGCTGCTGCCCGTCGTGCCAGAAGCATGCATTTGGAATGTTTGTAGTGTTGATTTAACTGCTAGACTTAACAGAAACAGCAAAACGCCCCTCAGGGTTTAGGGTTTAGAGTTTAGGGTTTAGGGTTTAGGGTTCAGGGTTTAGGGGGAAGACAGCTTGCCCAGGGCAGGTACTGCGGTGCAGCAGCAGCTTCTAACTTTGTGCAGCTCGGGTTTGCTGCTGCTGCTGCTGCTGCTGTGGGCTTTGGGGTTTTGCTGCAGCAGAGGCTTGTTAGCTGCAGCAAAGCTGAAATATGTATTTAAAAATGCTGCTAATGCATTTAAAGAAGTAAATGAAATCAAACAAAGACAAGAAACTTCTCTCCACCGCCCGCGGCCGAACCTGAACAGCGCCTCGATGCGCCTTGCTGCTGGCTCCTGCTGCAATGTCCAGCAGCAAATGCAGGAAAAAGAAGTTAAAAAAGGAAAATGAAATATTAACATCAAAAGAACAAACAAAGAATTAAAAGTTCTCGAGTTTAAACGTTCAAAGACAAAGAAATGCAGTTCGCGCGTCCCCTGGTCTGGTCTGTGCGCCCACGGGCTGCTGCGGGCTCAAGCCCCAGCTGGCTAGCTGGAGTTCCCGCTGTCCACTTGGACAAAATAAAACAAAAAACTTGAAATGTGCTTCAAAATTAAAGCGAATTAGCTGAAGATCTGCTGCAAAAGAGCTGCTGACGCCTTTTTTTCTCGGGATTTCCCGCGGCAGCGCCGCAGCCTCTCAGGCCACCCACCTGCTGCGGCTCTGCTGCGGCTCTGCTGCTGCAAAGGGAAGCCGCTTTCGTCTTTAAAGTCTCAACTTCTTTCGAGTTTGCAATTTGCTGCAATTCAAGTTCGTTCGAAATCAAGCAAAGCGCAGCTTCTTGCTCGCGCGGGCGCGCAAGCTCTGCTAGACAGGCGCGTTCGGCGGCGGGGCCACTGGTGCATTCCGCAGGAATTTCTGCTTCCACAAGGCCAAAGGGTTTAATTTAAAGTAAAGTTTGCTTCAAACTTGAGCTTTTTGCAGCCTAATCTTCGAGAAAACTCGCTGAGCTTCGCCTGCAGATCTCTGCCTGTAGCGCCACCGGCAGCAGGGTCACCTCCGCCGCCGCAGTCCGAAGCCGACGGAAACCCGCGTCTTCTTTCTTTGCTTTTGCCTTTTTCTAATTTGGCGGAGTTTTTAAACTTATTTTGGCTCTCTTTCTTTCCAAAAACTCTCCAAAGTGCTCTCAAATCGGCTGGATCGGGCTGCGGACAGCGGCGTGGCAAAACTTGAATTGCGTCGGCAGTGCTCGCTTCCCGCCGCGCTCGCCTGTCTGTCCCACTTGTTGCATTTTTATTATTTTTCAAACAAAAATAAAGGGAATTTCGCTGAGGCGGGTGCTGCTTTTGCTGCAGTTCTGCACAGCGCCTTCTCACCCGTGCGGCCGCGAGAGCACTGCCGGTGAGTTCAGGTTTCGACTGTCTTCTGGCCGTTTTTCCTCCTTTCAAGACTCAATTGGAGTTCTTTCTTTGCATATTTCTGCGTCTGTTTTTTTAAAAATCGAATTTAAACGCGAGAACACCTCTGATCGGCCCTGTTCAACTTCTGCCTCCGCGGCGCGTTCCGGCTGGAATGTGACTGTCACCGCCCCGCCGGCAAGTCTGCATTTGTCTTTTCTTTATCGCTTTTATTTTAATTATTCTTTATTTGTATTTAATCAACATGTTCGGCACCAACCAGGCCAGCGCCTTGGGGGGCCCCTGCCTCGTTTCGCACTCTCTGGCTGCGGGCTCGCTGCAGCAGCAGTTTCAAGCCCCAGTTCTCAACAAGGCGCAGCACAGCCGCTTTCTGGGCCAGAACGCAATAAGCTTGAAGCCAGCAGCAGCGGGAGAGGCCCTCCCTGCAGCAGCAGCAGCAGCGCCACCAGCAGCAGCACTGCCCGCAGCAGCAGCACTGCCCGCAGCAGCAGCGCCGCCCGCAGCAGCGGCGCTGCCTGCAGCAGCAGAAGCAGCGGGGTTGAACGACGAAGCGCTGGCTGCTGCCTCGGACCCCGGCAACGCAGCAGCAACAGCAGCAACCGCAGCTGCTGCTGCTGCTAGAGCAGCAGCAACGGGGTTCGTAATGGAACCTCTTGCTGCAATGGATGCAGCTGCTGCTGCAGCACTCGCCTCAGCTTCTATTGAAGCAGCAGCTGTTGCTTCTATTGGGCTGGCCAGTTATGGCTTTTTATCTGAAACTTCTTATCCCCGGACGTGGCGCGATTTGCTGTCTGTTGCTTCGGACGAAGAAGAGGAGCAGCAGCAGCAGCAGCAGCAGCAGCTGCTGCTGCTGCAGCAGCAGCAGCAGGAGCCGCAGTGGCTGCTGCAGTCTTCAACGCGCATGCAGCAGCAGTACCAGCTTCAGCAATACGTTTTCCAGCAGCCAGAAGTGCTGCCGCATCTGCATGAGCAGCAGCAGCAGCTGCAGCAGGAGCAGCAGCAAAACTGGCTGTGGCAAGCGAATGACCAGCAAACGCTTTTCAAGTGGAAGCTGCAGCTGCAGCACGACGATCAGCAGCAATTCAAACACAAAACCCCCGCTCACCTGCAGCAGCAGCAGCAGCAGCAGCAGCAGCAGCAGCAGCAGCATGCAGGCTGGTACGTGCCTCCACATGAGTGGTGCGAGCCCCTCAATCGGGAGATCCAGGGTGTACAGACACTAGAGCAGCAGCAGCCGTCCCAGGTGCCGCAGCAGCAGCCGCTTCAGCCCTCCCAGTTGGAGCTTCTGCAGCTGCAGCAGCAGCAGCAGCAACAGCAGCAGCAGCAGCAACAGCAGCAGCAGCAGCAGCGACAGCAACAGCAGCAGCAGCAACAGCAGCAGCAGCAGCAACAGCAGCAGCAGCAGCCGCAACAGCAGCAACAACAGAAGCAGGAAAAGCAGCAGGACCGACGGCAGCAACAAAAGCGGCAGGAGCAACAGCGGCAGCAGCAGCAGCAGCAGCAGCAGCAGCAGCAGCAGCAGCGGCAGGCCCACGCCCACGATTATTATCGGCAGCAGCTGCAGCAATACGAAGAGCTGCTGCGGAGAGTCCCGCAGCAGCCAGCAGCTCAGCTAGAAGCAGAACTGGCTCCCCTGAGTTACCCAGTGCAGCAGCAGGTCGATTTCCAGCAGCAGCAGCTGCTGCTGCAGCAGCAACAGCAGCTGCAACAGCAGCAGCAGCTGCAGCACCAGCAGCAGCTGCAGCACCACCAACTCCAGCACCAACAACAGCTGCAGCAGCAGCAGCTGCTGCAGCAGCAACAGCAGCCGTCGGACACGCAGGAGTCGCAGCTGCTATGGCAACACCAGCAGCAAGCTGTGCAGCCTCAGCTCGAGCAGCAGCTGCTGCTGCAGCAGCAGCAGCAGCAGCAGATCCTTCAGCTGCAGCAGCAACAGGTGATGCTGCAGCAGCTGCCGCACGTGGCGCTTCAGGAGCAGCAATTCTGTCTTCCTGGAGAGCAGCAGCAGGTTGTTCAGCAGCAGCTGCAGTACCAGCTGCTGCAGCAGCAGCAGCAGCAGCTGGACCCAACCCAGTTTAACTATGAAAGCATCATGTCGCAGCAGCAGCAGCAGCAGCTGCTGCTGCTGCAGCTGCAGCCTGAGGGGCCAGTGGACGAAGCAGCGCTGTACATGGACATGCAGCTGTTTCTGTCCTCGACTTTCGCTGCAGCAGCAGCAGCAGCAGCTGCTGCTGCTGCTGCTGCTCCCGTGTCTGCATGCGCCTTCGGGATCAGCTCTGTCTGCCAATCTGTTGCAGCAATGCTGGAAGATGTGACAGCAATTGAAGAAGAAATGAGAAAAGGATTTAAATGACAAAAAGCAATTGCTTCGAGTGCTGCAAACGCATGCGCTCGGGTGTACAGACACCCCGCTGCTGCTGCTGCTGCAGCGGCTGCAGCAGAAGGGAAGCAACTGCAGCAGCAGCTCCAGCGGCAGCTGCAGCAGCAGGACAAACGCTGCGCCCACTGCAGCAGCAGCAGCGGCAGCAGCAGCAGCAGCAGGTGGTCTTTTTGGCGAAGATTGTCTGTAGAAGAAACTAAGGAGATGAAAGACAAGCAGCAAAAGCAAATTCTTTTGCTGCTTCCATTTGCTGCTGCTCTCTTGTTGGCATTCTATTTGTCTTTGTTCTTTTTGCTGCTGCAGCAGCTCAAACGGACCCTTAGGAGAAGGTACTTTAGGCTTTTTTCAGTTGTGCTGCAGCAGCTAATAATGAAGTTTGTTGCTGCAGCTAGTGCTGCAGCTAGTGCTGCATCTTTTGCTGCAGCTAGTGCTGCAGTTTCTGTTACAGCTGCTGCGGCAGTTGCTGCTGCAGCTAGTGCTGCTGCTGCTGCTGCAGCATCTGCTGCAGAGAGTGCTGCAGCTGCTGGCTGCTGCTGCAGCTGTGTATGCAGCTTTTGCTGCAGTTAGTGCTGCTGCTGCAGCTTTTGCTGCAGCTGCTGCTGCAGCTGCTGCTGCAGCTACTGCTGCAGCAAAAGCCGCAGCAGCAGCAGCAGCAGCAGCAGCGCTCAGTGTTCGCTTGGCTTTCAAGCAGGCTGGGGTGTATGTACACCTCAAATTAAGGACCTCGTTTAAGGCTTTATCGCATTTTGGGTTTTATTTTTTAAATTGAAAAATAAATAAAACATTTTATATAATAAAATAAATAATAAATAAATAAATAAATAAATAAATAAATAAATAAATAAATAGGGCCAAAAGCAGGATATGGTGTCGGTGGTTTTTTATTTATTTATATCTTTTATTAATTAATTTTAATTTACTAATTGCACAAATAATTAATTAATTGGTTTGTTTTTATTGTACTTTATTTATTTATTTATTTATTTATTTATTTATTTATTTATTTATTTATTTATTTATTTATTTGTCATCGCTTTTCTTGGCTCAAGAAGGCAGCCACCAGTTGGGTTTGCTGCAGCTCTTCTTGGCTAGCTGAAATGGCTGTGGCTAGCTAGCTAGCAGTGGCTAGTCTTAACAAACCTGCTGCTGCTGCTGCTGCTGCTGCTGTGCTTGCTGCTGCTGCTGTTGCTGTGCTTGCTGCTTGTGCTGTTGCTGTGCTTGCTGCTGCTGCTGTTGCTGCGCTTGCTGCTGCTTCTTGTCCTGCTGCAGCCCCTTCTGGAGCCCTTCTTGGCTAGCTGAGGTGCCTTTGGCTAGCTGGTTGGCTGCAGCTAGCTGCAAGAGCCTGCCTTTGCTGCTGCACTTGCTGCTGCGCCTGTGTGGCTGCTGCTGCTGCTGCTGCTGCTGCTGCGCCTGCTGCTGCTGCTGCCAGCGGCTTCGAGGCTAAGCATATGAGTCTAAAACAAAGTTAATTTGTCTTTTAGTCATTTTAAAAGACTACTTTTGCCAAATTCCCAACTTGCTGCTTCCCAAGTGCAGCACGAGTCGGAGCCGACGCGTGGCAGCCGCGCGGTGGTCAGGTGTACCGACAGCTCGTCTCGGGTGTCGCGTTCTGCGTTTAATAATTTTAATGGCAGACTTATTTATTTATTTATTTATTACTTTTGTTTTAGTACTCAGCAATCTGTTTTTCAGGGGGTTTGGGGGGCTGGGCAGCTGCCGACTGGTGGGCGGTAGGCGCTGCTTCGCGTGGCTGGAGCAGCAGCAGCAGCAGCAGCAGCAGCAGCAGCAGCTCGTGCTGCTGCTGCGGGCTGCAGCAAGCTTTCCTTTTACTTTATTTCCTTCGTTTCAATCCAACACCAGCTTATTTATCTCTTCCAGTTTGTCTGCCCGCGCGCGCTGCCGCTCGCACTCCCTCCACCGCTCACAGCCGCAGCAACAGCCACAGCCACAGCAGCAGCAGCAGCAGCAGCAGCAGCAGCAGCAAAGATGGGTGTGGATACTTCGCCTTTCCGCTGCGGCAGCCAGCTGCGGGCCATGCTGCACGACTCGATGACTTCTGCGGGTTTGTTTGTGCTGGGGAGTGTGGCAGCAGCAGCAGGAGTGTGCGCGTGCTTCCCGGGGAGTGCTGCTGCGGCTGCAGCAGCGTGCTGCAGCAGCGCAGCAGCAGCAGCAGCAGCAGCAGCAGCAGCACTGCTGTGGACCTGGGCCTTCTGCAGACTCGCCGAGGGCTACCGCCTTCCCCCCTCTTTGAGCCCGCGAGACCTTCGCCCGCGGCTGTTCGTGCTGGTGGAGGCCGCAGTGTCTTTGCTGTGCGGCCAGCAGCAGCAGCAGCAGCAGCAGCAGCAGCAGCAGCAGCAGCACATGCGGGGCAAGGTCTGCGCAGTCACTGGCTGCAACTCCGGGATCGGGGAGGAGATCGCGCTGCAGCTTGCTGCTTGGGGGGCTCGTGTTGCGCTGCTGTGCCGCAACGAGGCGGAGGGCAAGGCCTTGGCCCGCCGCATTCACATCCAGCAGCAGCAGCAGCAGCAGCAGCAGCAGCAGCAGCAGCAGCAGCAGCAGCAGCAGCAGCAGGGGGACCCTGGGGAGTGCGGCGCCGCGTGCCGGGAGGGCTGCATCGCGCGCTTCATAAAGGCGGACCTCTGCAGCCTGGAGTCGCTGCGGGAAGCTGCTGCTGCAGTGGCCGCCTTCTGCAGCAGCAGCAGCAGCAGCAGCAGCAGCAGCAGCGGGAGGCTGGACGTGCTGGTGCACAACGCGGGCGTGCTGCTGACGCAGCAGCTGCTGCTGACCCAAGAAGGAATAGAAAAAATGTTCTACACTCATGTTGTGGGGCCCTACAGTCTGACGCGGCTGCTGCAGTCGGGTGTACGTACACCCGGCAGCCGCGTCATCTTCGTGTCTTCCCTCGCGCAGCACTCCGCGCCGCAGGCCTTCCACCCGCTGAACGCCATGTGCAGCAGCCAGGCCTACGCTGCTGCTGCTGCTGCTGCTGCTGCTGTCCAGCAGCAGCAGCAGCAGCAGCAGGAAGCCAGCCGCGCCCCGCAGACGCCCTGGACGCCTGAGAACTACGACGGCCGGGAAGTCTACGCCTGCAGCAAGTTGGCGGAGACCTGGCTTGCTGCTGCGCTGCAGCGGGACCTCAACAGCAGCAGCAGCAGCAGCAGCAGCAGCAGCAGCAGCGGGGAGGGCGCTGCTGCTGCTGCGCCGCTGCTGGTGGTGAGCGTACACCCCGGCGTTGTCAACACGAAGCTGCCGAGACACCTGAAGGGCCGCAGCCTCCTGTGGCGGCTGCTTGTTGCTGCTGCCAGCAGCACTTTGATGAAGACGCAGCAGCAAGGAGCAGCAACGCCGCTGCTGCTGGCAGCAGCAGCAGCAGCAGCAGCAGACCTCAGGGGCGGCAGCTACTACGCAGAGGGCGAGCTGGGCATTGCAGACCCTCGAGCAGCAAATCGACAAATGCAAGACATCACTCTTGCCATTTGCAAAGCACTCACCAACTTGTAAACCCGCGCTGCTGCTGCTGCTGCTGCTGCTGCTGCTGCTGCTGCACTTGCTGCTGCTGCTGCTGCGGCTGCTGCGGGGGCTGCGGCGCGCGCGCGCTTCAGAGCGGCCGTAGAGTCTGCTGCAGCAACTGCGGCTGCTGCTGCTCTCCGGCGTTTTCAAGCAGCACTAATTGCTGCTGCAGCAGCTGCTGCAGCAGCTGCTGCAGCAGTTGCTGCTGCTCACAAACAGCACGAGCGGGAGTTGCAGGAGCTACTGCCGCTGCAGCTGCGTGAACAGCAACAACAGCAGCAGCAGCAGCAACTCCAGCTGCTGCTGCTGCTGCAGCAAGAGATCTGGCGAGTGGTGCCAGATTCTCCCCGTGGTTCGTTTTTGACTTCGCTTGGCTTCTTTTGTCCTTATTTAGGGTTTAGGGTTTAGGGTTTAGGGTTTAGGGTAGATCTTAGGGCTTAGTGTCTCCAGCCTAGTGCTGCTGCTTTGCTGCTGTTGCCGCTGAGAACAATTGATGGGCTAGCAATATCAGCAGCAGCAGCAGCAACAGCAGCAGCAACAGCAGCA